ACTACAGCAACAACAACAACCACAACAACAACAGCAACAACAACAGCAACAACTACAGCAACAACAACAACAGCAACAACTACAGCAACAACTACAGCAACAACAACCACAACAACAACAGCAACAACAACCACAACAACAACAGCAACAACTACAGCAACAACAACAACAACAACCGCAACAACAGCAACAACTACAGAGCTTCTGGAAGAAGTGTATTCTGGGTACTCCAATCATCAGGAACAAAATATCACATGTCGCTGGGACCAGGTTGAGCTAGCGAGACCTCGGACGGACCATCATTGCAGCTTGAGATGGTATAAGAACTTTTTGAATGAAGAGCTCAGCCCATGTTGCCGAAGATGTAGCCATGAAAAGGAGGATGTCAAACATAATGTTTGAATGTCCAGGAACAATGGCAATTCGAATGGAATTATGAGGACGAGTGGAGGTGCCTCTAAGCATATTGACAATGGAGCCGAAATAGAGCCTCGCTCTCGCTCGAAGATTTCTTCGTGGAGTCCACCAGGCCCATTAAGGAAACAAAAAAAAACAAAAAACTACAACAAACAAACAACAGTAACAACAACAGCAGCAGCAGCAGCACCACCACCACCTACCTGCGCCAGGCACAGGAATGACAAGACATAAGGAAAAAAAATGATGTCAGCAGAAAAGCTCTGTCAACATTATGGGTGTGGTATGTGCTTGTAGTGATTCCCTGGGCCCGCAGTAATGGCTTGTAGTGGTAGTGTTCCGAGGCAAGCACTTCGCTCCGGTGAGCAACGAGCCAGCCATCAGTGCGCGAGAGCAAACTAACGGGCCCCCAGTACTTCCCAGCACGTGCCTACCAAATTGATTTGATCGCACTGAAGGGCCCCACGCAACAGGGCTGATTAGAGGCCGGCTAGTAGTGCTGGGCGGCCAGCTTCCCGATTATTGAAAGCTTAGAATCGTAGGAATGGACTCCGAACCCAAGTACTTACTTTCTAATGATGTGATTTCTTCCGGTGGTTACCTAATCGGCTCCGAACATCTTCAGGATTTAAAATAGCCTTGATTTTGGGACACTACTTGCGGAGCATCAACTTTTATTTGTCCCAATAAAAATTCAAAAAAAATATTTTGAAAAAGATTCTAGTAACCGTTGGTTTTCGTAAAAAGGAGTCGGAACTTTTTTCCCATAGCATTAATCGTGGGGATTGGTTCCGGAATCGATTCTTCGCCCAGCTCTACCCAGACAGGAAGGAGGGAGATGATTGTACGGGTGGATGTAGATGGCACGCCGGTGTGTGGCACTGACCACTTTATCCACGCGCCCGAGGTTTTGACACCCGCTGAAAGGTGTTGGGGCTTTTGTCGTGGGCATTCTTGTTTACGTGAAGTGTTCCGGCCCAGTTTCACTTCTTCTGTAAACAACAACTACATACAACACCTACAGCAGCGACAACAACTACAGTTTCAACAACAATAACACCAACAAAAACAATAACATCAACAGCAAAAACAACAACAACAACATCAACAACAACATCAACAACAACAACAACACCACCAACAAAAACAATATACCACCACCACCACCACCACCACCAACAACAACAACAACAACAACAACAACAACAACAACAACAACAACAACAACTGAACCATGGTTGGATAGACAGGTCTCAAAGCAAAATTTACCCTGTCATATTGCGGCGTTAATTTCATGAGTGTTATGTGCATGCCATTATAAAGGGGCTGGTTTAATAAGACATGTTCTTGAAAATAATAGAGGTCTTGAGCATTGAACATTGGGATGGAATGGGTTTCATTCCAAAGTGATTTTGATTTTAGGTGTTTTAGTCTTGAATATCGCTGACTTGAAAAAAATGAAATCATTATCGTAAATGGCTTGAGACTGTGCTATTATTCAATGAAAGACCACACCACCAACACATTTACCCTCAGACAGACAGTACCCCAGACAGACAGTACCACAGACACACAGTACCACAGACACACAGTACCAAAGACACACAATACCACAGACACACAGTACCACAGACACACAGTACCACAGACACACAGTACCACAGACACGCTGTACTACTGACACGCAGTACCACAGACACGCAGTACCACAGACACGCAGTACCACAGTACCACAGACACACAGTACCACAGACACACAGTACCACAGACACGCAGTACCACAGGCACACAGTACCACAGTACCACAGACACGCAGTACCACAGACACGCAGTACCACAGTACCACAGACACGCAGTACCACAGACACGCAGTACCACAGTACCACAGACACACAGTACCACAGACACACAGTACCACAGACACGCAGTACCACAGGCACACAGTACCACAGTACCACAGACACGCAGTACCACAGACACGCAGTACCACAGACACACAGTACCACAGACACACAGTACCACAGACACACAGTACCACTAGACCCATCTCACTAACTTCCTGCCTACAGGAATTCATGGTATGAGGTTACCTATGTACCTCAGCCTAGCACTTTTCTGGTGGTGGTTTAGGAGGGG